CAAAGTCATGGCTGGACAGCAGATTGAGGAAACGGAGGAATCCCACCTGTGGGCTGCTGCAAACCCCAGCCAGGGTCAAGGTTAGCTCGGAGGGTGAAACAACAGTAAAACCTTCTCAATTCAATGGGCTTGCAAGACAGGAGAACACACACAGAGTACAACCCTTCTATTTACAGTAGAACCTCCCTGTAAAGGACATCTAATTGCAGAGCCAAAGTGTCCTTTAGGGAGAGGTGTCCTCTTACCGGAGAATTGCTAAATTGTAAACATGGCAATTTTAAAAATGAAAACTGTCCTTTGTAGAGCCTCTAGCACGGGTGCCCTCTCATGGAAGTTCTACTGTACCATAATAAGCATGACACAGACACTAAATGTGTAACTTTGGAATTTGTTTAGTAAGAAAAGGGATGTAAATTCATCACAGGTGGAGGAATGGCGCATACTGACAATTTTTGACAAGGGATCAAATCCTGCATATCTGGAACTTTTTTTCTGCTTCAATCACCCCTGATTCATGCACAAATCTAACCATCCCAGTGAGTTTAAGTAATCAAACAGGGTACTGATGCCTTGCTAAGTGTTAAAGTCAAACTGATTTCAAGAGTAAAATGCTGTCATATTACACTCATGGACAAAACTTGAGGAAGTTGTACCCTTGTAGCATTTATATTAGGTATTCAGACAATAACTCTCAGAAAGATATTTGATAAACAGCGACCTTATTGAAGATACCCAAGCATGAACAATAAAATTGTCTTCTGTATCCTTAAAAAAATAGAAGACCGGTGACATCAAAGACTTTCCACTTTTGTACATGAGTATACATAGAATAACTAAATACACATACATTAGTTTCACATGACCAGAGCTAGAAATGTGTAAAAAGGGTAGGAAAGGAACGTACCAGGGTCGGCTGAAGGGCAGGGGCTGCAGGTAGAGGTGGCAGAAGAGCAGGTCCACACACACCTCTGGGAAGAGAGAAGGCCCCAGCAGACGCTGGGATGCCAGCCAGCGTTTGCCGAGCCGTGCTGCAGTCCCCAGGGTGTTGTACTGCTGGTGGACACCTTGGATCAGTGACACCAGACGAGGTTGGTGGAGTAGCTCCTTCTCCAGGCGAGCGGCAGTCTGCTTGTCAGCAAGGAGCCTCTCCTTGTGGCAGATGAGCTGGAGACGGAAGACGTAGCCTTGTACGATCACGTCAATCCCTGTGATCCTGGTCTGGACGGTCAGCTGGTACTTGCTCTGGAGGAGTTCTCCCACGGCGATGTAGAACCTGGCTTTCTGGAGACGGAAACCTTCCGGGTCTTTGAGATTCTGCCAGACCTCGTCTCCCTTCAGCAGGAAGCACACTGCAGCACAACATCCAGCTTAGTTCTCTCTGCCAAAGTGTCTTCCTTCCCATCTTTTAGAAATTTTTCCAAAGGGCTCAAAGTATAAACACATGGTAATAAGACCATATCCAAATATATAGTCTGTGACTGATCTGTGACACTAGTGAGAGTGTTCTCTCATGTGTAGGTTCTACTGTAATACAGTAGAACCTCCCTGTAAAGGACACCTAATATTGGAGAGCCAAAGTGTCCTTTAAGGAGAGGTGTCCTCTTACCGGAGAGCTAAATTGTAAGAATGGTAATTTTGCAAATCAGAACTGTCCTTTGTGGAGAGGTGTCCGCTAAAGGGAGGTCCTACTGTACCTATAAAGGTATATCTCACAAAAAAAATAAATAAATTTGATGATAAGAAATCACTGTACTCTCCAATGATTCACAAAGGGGGTCGGTGGAAGGCTGGTTAAACCGTTTGGTTTCGACCACTACGACCCGGGTTCGATTCCCGCATTGGACACTTTTTTCTGTTTAAAAAAAAAATGCTCCAATGGCCCCCGATTCTTGCAAAAGTCCAACCCCACCAGCGAATGTAAGTAACCAAACGGGACTCTGGCACATTTGTAAGTGCAAAGTCGAACTGCTTTTCACATGTGTAGACATGTGGTGCGCTTACAGTAAAAGCAGTCTCTAACTACCCACCATGATTATCATGGCCTGTACCACGTGTACTAGGGATAAGCAAAAAAAAAAAAAAAGATTCACAAAAGGAAATCACTCACCTTCCAGAGCTTCCTCATATGGTGGACAGATCTTGGCATTGGGCTTGAGAACCAGGCAATTCTCCATCACAGTGGTAGCCTTGTTCTCAGTCTTGTTGTCAAACACCAGTGGAGGGAAGGTCTGCACACATGGGGGGCACACTTAACAACCTATTCTATCGGTTGGTGGAGAAGTGGGATAGACATTCGATTTCAGACAGCCCGGGATCAAATCCCACATTGGCCATTTTTTCTGAATAAAAAATTGCTCCAATGATCCCTGATTCTTCCAAAAGTCCAACCCCACCAATGATTGCAAGTAACCAAATGGGGATCTGGCACACTTGCAAGCAGTCGAACTGCTTTTCACATGTATAGACATGTGGTGCACTTACAGTAAAAGCAGCCGCCAACTTTTACTCACCATGATTATCATGGCCATTACCACATGTATTAAGGATAAAAGTAGCTTCCTTAAGAAGTCATTGTCCTCAAAACGAGGAAAAGATCAACAAACAAAAGTATAACATCTTATAAAGGTAAGGTTTTTCTATACATTTGTAGACATGTGGTGCACTTACAGTAAAAGCAGTTGTCGACTACTACCCACCATGATTATTATGGCCTTATACCATTTGTACTAATCGTAAATATTGAGGCTGCCTGGCCGGCATTCATATTTCTTGAAAATGAAGATACTTCGGCCAGTAAATCTTTTTATTACCTCGACGTTTCGACAAAAAATCTTTTGTCCTCGTCAGGAGCAAACAAAAATTAAACATTCAGCAAGGCGTTAAAAATCTTCCAGAATAGGTAATAAAAAGATTTACTGGCTGAAGTATCTTCATTTTCAAGAAACATTTGTACTAAGGGGATAATAATAATAATTTAAAAAGGAATCTCTCCAGTAGAAACTTCTATTTAATAAAAAAAACCTCTTTCTACAGTAATATCTTTTATCTCTCTGTGAAATTCCTTGTTGCATATTTTATTACAAAAGCTCTGGCTTATGTTAATGTAAGATTTAGAGTAGTATACAACTACCTCCCTGTAAAGGACACCTAATTAAAAAGCCAAAGTGTCCTTCAGGGAGAGGCTTCCTCTTACTAAAGAGTTGCTAAATAGCAAAAAAGATCATTTTGGCAATGAAAACTGTCCTTTATAGAGAGGTGTCCTCTCATGGAGGTTCTACTGTTTCAAGTAATTCAAATAACAGTTGAACTATACTATACTACTTTTGTTATTACAGTAGAACCTCCCTGTAAAGGACACCTAATTGCAGAGCCAAATTGACCTTTAGGAAGAGGTGTCATTTTACCGGAGAGTTGCTAAATAGTAAAAATGGTAATTTTGCAGATGAAAACTGTCCTTTATAGAGAGGTGTCCTCTCATGGAGGTTTTACTGTACCACTGTTGGAACAACTTTAGAACTGTGATGCTATAACCAAATTGGTATTATAAAAAATAATAATATAACAAAGGGGGTCGGTGGAAGGCTGGTTAAACCGTTTGGTTTTTGACCACTACGACCCGGGTTCGATTCCCGCATTGGACACTTTTTTTCTGATTTAAAAAAAAAAAAAATGCTCCAATGGCCCCCGATTCTTGTAAAAGTCCAACCCCACCAGCGAGTGCAAGTAACCAAACAGGGCTCTGGCATATTTGTAAGTGCAAAGTCGAACTGCTTTTCACATGTGTAGACATGTGGTGCGCTTACAGTAAAAGCAGTCGCTAACTACCCACCATGATTATCATGGCCTGTACCACGTGTACTAAGGATAATTAAAAAAAATAAAAAATAATAATAATATAACAAGAATCCACCTCACTCCTTATCTCCTCTTATAGATTGTCAATATTCTTCATGATTCAATATTATTTACTTAATGATAAGGCACAATTTGGGGATTATAGATTATAAATATTTATTTATTTGGATTTGGTATTATTACCTTGTCACCTTCTCAGCCTGCAACCCCAAGACATATTATTGACCGTATTGACTCATCCATTGATGAGCTCTACTCTTCCCCGGCAGACACCATCAAAAATCTCCAGCTTTACAAGCTTGATACCTTAGTGTGATTGAGTGGAGATAAGAAAGAAGAAGAGACCTTGTGATTATTTACTTAAAAGAAACAATTTTTTAATTGAGTAAACAGTTCTTGAAGATGATCCACCCCTTAAAATATTGGACAGTATCTTCTGATCTATATAAAGTATGATTCTTTAATTAGAGACTTTAAACAGCAGAGAACAACCTCTCTAAAGGGGACACATTGTTGCAGAGTCAAAGTATCCCTTAGGAAAGTGTGTTCTGATAAGGCACAATTTAGATTAGAAACACAAAGTATTAAGACCAAACCCTAATAAATAATAAGTGGGTGACATTTTGGTAATAATGCTGTTACCATCATCACTACTGTTACCATATCAATATTTTTGTCTGAAGATGGTAACAACGTTGTTACTGAAACATCTTGCACTATTTATTTATTTGGATTTAGTCTTGTTAGCTTATGAAGGAAGAGAGAAAGACTTCTAATGAGCTGGCTGAAAGGGATCCAGCTAGCAACTGGAAGGTCAATAGATGAGCTGTGTGATGGTCACTAAAATATAAAATTGGAGAATATTGTCCCTATAGTCACAAAAGGTCAGATCTGATGGACATTTAAAACAATAAATGGTATCAGAAAGGCCAAGAATACCATGCAAAGTTTTTTTTTTGCTTATCCCTAGTACACGTGGTACAGTTCATGAAAATCATGGTGGTTAGAAGTTGGCGACTGCTTTTACTGTAATTGCAGCCCATGTTTACACATGTGAAAAGCAGTCCGACTTTAAACTTACAAATGTGCTAGAGCCTCGTTTGGTTACTTGCACTTGCTAGTGTGGTTGGACTTTTGCAAAAGAGTGCCCAATGTGGGAATCAAACCCAGGTCTTAGCGGTCGAAAACCAACGGTTTATACCATCATTTCACTGACCCCCACCAGGCAAAGTCACTAACCTGAGTGAAACAGAAGGCAGAAGTGAGGCCATGGATGTTGGTCACATTCTGGGCATATTCACCCAAGTTCCGGAGCATGTTGGAGAGTTTGTCAAAGGCTTCCAAGAGACGAAGACTGCATTCCTCTCCGGTACCATAGGGAGGACACTCTGGAGGCATCTGAACACTCCGATCCAGGAAGGACTCCGTCTGAGCGGCGACATACTCCATATTGGAGGGAGCAATGCCAGCTTGGCTGCAGCACACATCTCAGATCTTACTATCAGATTTAAAGATCACAACTACAAGGTATTTGGATTTGGTCTTATGACCTTGTAGTTGGTAATGAATGTAATAATCTTTATTTCTTCTTTATTAATACAAGAAAATTAGACCTAATCCAAATAAATTAATAGTGTGTGATGTTTCGGTAACAATGCCGTTACCAAAACGTCACACACTATTAAATTATTTGAATTAGGTCTAATTTTCTTGTATCTATAATCCAAATTGTGCTTTAACATTCTTCTTCTTTTACCTTTTTGAAAAGAGGTAGGTACAGAAAATAACAGACAAGCCTTTTTCTTAATTATATCACCTGATCACAGTACATTTTTTGTTGTCTACTTTGTTGCTCTCAAAGTCATCATCATTTTTCCAAAATTCAGAAAGAGCAGAACACTGTGTTAGGAACATAGATAATTTGTATTTTTATATTTTACTAGCGGACGTACCCGGCTTCGCCCAGGTTTTACCCGAGTAAAGGTTTGTCTAACGAATCTTTCGATAAAGTGAACATTTTTTCCCGGTCCCTTGAAAAATACTCGATAAGTTGAATAAAATAAATATTAATTGGTTCCCTCGGTAATTGGAAGTTAAAGGAATAGTATCTTGCCTTGGAATTGTATCATTATTCTTGTCTCAAATAAATTGGCGTGTCATCCTGAATTTTGTCTTTCCTAATTTTCTACATTACAAAATCATCGTATCATCATGATAATATTTAGAGCAGATTGTTGAATTATAACAGAAAAATTAGAATATTTATCTTGATTATTTTAAAGCGAAAAGTTATTTCAAAAATTTATTTGCTAGAAACCTTCCCAGTACTATACTAAATAACTTCCCAAAGTTTCATGGCGTTCCAATGAGTGGTTTGGTCAGGCATAAAGGACAAACAGACACACACACACACACATACATTCATTTTTATATATATAGATGTAAATAGCTATTTTGCATTTTTCTATTGTTTTATCTTTTGCCTATATAAATGTCGTGGTAGGGTAGTGAGGCTTGTAGAGTAGAGTGCACAGCTTGCTTGATGAGATAAACGTACTTCTTCGCTAGGCCTAATGTAATCTGCAGGAAAAAGAAACCAGTTATTTTTTTTATTCGTTTTTAGCTTTTATAGAAGAATAAAGTTAGCTATTGTTTTGCTTTTGTATACAAAGTTGATCCTCTTTAAATATATATATTGTCACCTTTGCTTGAGACCATTTTAATCTAAATGAACCAACATCATAGTGCACCAATCTAAAAGTGTACAAAACACACTGTTTAGAGTGACTGTATTCACAAGATAAAGACTCGTGATATAGAAAAAAAAATGGGTCAGGGTGAAGAGCTCAGAAGAAGCTCTTCTCCCTAACCTGTGTTTCTTCAATAGAGAATAGGGATAATATCGCTGTCTTAACCCATGATATTCTCTATGAAATCACATGGTCAGTCACCTAGTACACCTATCCCCCGATTTACATGGTACTTGTTTTACACATTTTCGCTTTTACACGGTTTTCCAAATAAGTTTTTTTTTTGTTTTTATCGCACTATACTAAATGCTACTGTGATTGAACAAATGCGCTGTGTACACATCTCAAGAGGAATCCCGAGCTTATGTGCTGACTACATATTTTAACCTGTCAATGCATTTTATTTTTATTTCTGTGTACAACTATCCCCCGATTTACACGTTTTTCTCAGGAAGGTATCTACTGTGTAAATCGGGGGATAGGTGTACTTGAAACCTGAATAAAGAGATAACCTCTGGCCCCTCCTAAATTGGCTGTTTAAGATGTTTTGCCATATTGCTTTTAGAAGTGAATTTGAGGGTTAGTGGAAGGATGGTTTAAACCATTAGTTTTCGACCGTTACGACCCTGGTTCGATTCCGGCATTGGGCACTTTTTTGTTTATTAAAAAAAAAAAAATGCTCCCATGGTCCCCGATTTTTGTAAAAAGTCAAGCCCCACCTGCGAGTGCAAGTAACCAAATGGAGCTTTGGCACATTTGTAAGTGCAAAGTTGAAGTGCTTTTCTCATATGCAGACATGTGGTGCACTTACATTAAAATCAGTTGCCTACTTCTACCTACCATGATTATTATGGTCTGTACCACGTGTACTAGGGATAAGAAAAAAAAAAAAAAGGAAAAATTTAATTTTTTTGAAGAAGAGTTAGCTACAAAAATGCTTTTTTTTTTTGCTTATCCTTAGTACACGTGGTACAGGCCATGATAATCATGGTGGGTAGTTAGCGACTGCTTTTTACTGTAAGCGCACCACATGTGAAAAGCAGTTCGACTTTGCACTTACAAATATGCCAGACCCCCGTTTGGTTACTTGCACTCGCTGGTGGGGTTGGACTTTTGCAAGAATCGGGGGCCATTGGAGCATTTTTTTTTTTTAAACAGAAAAAAGTGTCCAATGCGGGAATCGAACCCGGGTCGTAGTGGTCGAAAACCAAACGGTTTGACCAGCCTTCCACTGACCCCCTCACAAAAATGTGAGGTAATGAGGTGACTTACTAGTCCAGGATGTAGGACACAATGTGGGAGGGCACCAGCCTCTTCTCAGCAAAGTTGCTCCCAGGCCAGATGATCACTTCCCGAATGGAGCCATCCTTCAGCCGACGCAGCTGACTCTTGTTGGAACCCCAGAACTGGAGATACTCCTTGGCCTGCACATATAATGTGTGTGGAATATATATATATATGTATTACCTAATTTAGGAAATGGTAAAATTTAGCTGTGTAAAGATAGTTAAATACAGTAGAACCTCTCTGTAAAGGACACCTAATTGCAGAGAAAACATGTCCTTTAAGGGAGAGATGTCCTCATACTGGAGAGTTGCTAAATTGTAAAAATTATAATTTTGCAAATGTGAAAACTGTCTTTTGTAGAGAGCTATCTGCTAGCGGACACCCCGCTAAAGCTAAATTCTATTGTATTATCATTTCAAACCATTTTAAGGCTTAATTTTCCTTGAAATTTTTTCTATCGCATGTACAATGGGCTAATGTTTTTTTTTTGTTGTTGTTGTTGTTTCTTATCCTTTTGTGCAAAGATTACACAAATTCCATGCTCCTTGAGTTATTTGATGATAAGCAGTGACCTATCTTCAGAAGAGTGTTCCATTCTAGAGAGCAGATCCTACCTCAGGCTTGTCACCATAAGGTCCCTTGTCCATGACCTGGTGGTAGAGTTCTGGATTGAGGAGGAATCCGAATGTCAGCCGGGATAGTTCATTAACCTTAGGTGGTGGAGAGGAAACATCCCACTGTACATCAACATCATGGTTAGCTAGAGATGGACCAGTAGAGACACCTGAACTTACCCATAGGTAGTTAGTGGGCTTACGATCCAGAACAAGAACACGTTCTCCAAGAGCACGTTTGAGCAGGACCTCCAGACTGTGACCTAAGGCTGTTGGGATATCTCCGCTATAGTCCAACAGTGTAGCTTGGGCTGCCAGCTTGTCCAGGGCTTTCTTTTGAGAGGCAGGGTCCACCACACTGTAGCCACATAACATTTAGTGGTGGAAGATAAACCTGGCTGGCTGCTACTCTGGTAAATTGAGAGACCAGCTAACAAACATGGGTGCTCTAATGTTGTTTGATCAGTTCAGGTGAACTAGGGGAGAGGCTCATCCTTATAGAGTTCATTCTTAGTTTAAAAAACTCAGTCAGAAAAATTCTCTGTCTTAAATTAAATTTGATCTTTAATAGTGTTTTTGTTGTTGTTACAGTAGAACCTCCCTTTAGTGGACACCTCTCTACAAAGGACAGTTTTCATTTGCAAAATTACCATTTTTACTATTTAGCAGCTCTCCGGTAAGAGGACACCTCTCCCTAATGGACACTTTGTCTCTGCAATTAGGTGTCCTTTACAGGGAGGTTCCCCCATATATCAATATATACTCATGGACAAAACTTTAGGAAGTGGAAAGTCTGATTTCGCCAGTTCTCTTTTTTTTTTTAAGGAGACAGAGGCAATTTTGTTCACACTTGGCTCTCTCTCTAACATATGTCTTCAATAAAGGTCACTGTAATATATTTCAGAGTTATTGTCTGAATCCCGATATACATGCTAAAAGGTACAACTTCCTTATATTTTGTCCATGAGTGTATCTTTCAGAGTTATTGTCTGAATCCCGATATACATGCTAAAAGGTACAACTTCCTTATATTTTGTCCATGAGTGTATCTTTCAGAGTTATTGTCTGAATCCCGATATACATGCTAAAAGGTACAACTTCCTTATATTTTGTCCATGAGTGTATCTTTCAGAGTTATTGTCTGAATCCCGATATACATGCTAAAAGGTACAACTTCCTTAAATTTTGTCATTGAATGTATATTTATATAGAGATTCAAAGATAAGTTAAATAAATCATAAATAATTAGAGGTTACTTACTGAACAGCATGGTCAAACTTGCAGTAGAAAGAGGCGGCAGCAGTGGAGAAGAAGTTCTTGCAGAAACCTTTGTGGAAGGTCTTGAGAGCAGTGAGGGAGATCTGGGCCTCATGTTGGATCTACACATCCATATGTTATATGATAAAAGCCTAATTTGGATTATAGCTACAAGAAAATAAAGACCTAATCCAAATTTTCGGTAAGAAAAAAAAAGCATTTATTCTTTTGTTTGATGATGATATCCATTGTTGTCGCCGAAATGTTACACACTATTAATTTATAATACAATATAATGCAGCTTGTGATTGTAAAACGA